TTTTTTTTTTTACTGTGGTAATCCCTGGATGAAGGTTCCTGGATAAGTTATGACAGCTCAATCACATCTCTAAATTGTGCTAAACTGTGGTGAAGGCGAGGGGGACACTCTGCAGCCAAGAGTTATTGGAGAGCAGCATGCCCTGATTAGGCCCAGTTTGTCCCTTGGCAAAGCTTGTGTGTTGGTGTTATGTATGTGTATGTCCTTTCTGTCAGCTGGTGCTAGGCTTTCCATGCCAGAAATATTTCTGTTAGGTATCCAGGTCTTCCTGCTGTTGAAGTGGCACAGAGGGAGTAGATTCTGACAGGGCAATTTTCTGGACAGCTATTAGAAATTTTTTGGAGGCTCTATCCAGGAGGACACTGCAGGCTGGATGCTGCTTTATTCCAAAGCAAGTATTTTTCTGTACTGCAATAGATTGTTTTGTTTTATTTTTAATTCATTACCTGTTTGTAAATACTATGATACATCTAGAACAGTGGTCACATTCATATTACCTTAGCAGAGTTGCCTAATTCAGGAGTTGGGTTTTATCTGTTGCATAAGGTTGGTGGGGATGGAGGCAAGGAAAGGCTGTGCTCCTCAGTAGCATGAGTGCTTAGGGTCTTCTGGAAGTTTTATGCAAAAAAATCCCCAATTAGTGAGAGGAGCGTGTTTTCTGGCAGAGCAGTTGACTTTTGCTGCCCTTTTATAACAAATTGTAGTTGTGAACTTGTGACCTTTATTCAAATTTTAAAGCCTGTGTCAAGGTCTCAGAAGCTGTTAAGTTGCTCACAATCATGCTAATCATAAGTAACTCACACTGAATTGAGTAGGTGTTTTGTGGAGTCTTTAAAATAGATATTGTATTGCATTGCTGTCCTCAGCCATGAGCAACTGAGCTCAATGAGCTCCCCTGATCGTTTGTACCTCTCTACTGTCACTTCTGCAGTGGCTGGAGAGAGAAACAGCTGTATTCAACCACTCATGTAATAAATTGCCTCTGAAATTTTCTCCACTGACTGTGCAGCAGGAGTGGGGTTCAAATTTGTGTTTAGAGCCTAAAACCAGGTGGACTTGTGCATTCAAGTTTCATTTCCTTTCCTGAACATTGGACATTCAGCTAAATTAAGGTAATGAAATCTTGAATTCTTGGTTTGAAACATCTGAAGTTGAATGTCAGTCTTGCACACCTAATGTTAACCTTTTACATCTATCTTTCTGTTTCTGAGTCCACAATGGTGGTCTGCATTATGTACCTTGTTATGTATGCTGCTAAAATTGATGCTGAGAAGAATCATGTACCCCATGTCTCTGAAGTGACATAACCATATCCTTTGATAACCCCGTTCTATTCCTTTGGATAAAATGCTTTTTCTGTGGTTTCAGATTTCATTGAAAATCCTGAGGGATTCAAACTAGCTGCTGCATGGTACTTGTTTGTAATGGAGCATCCTGAAGTTGGTGTCACAAGTAAGTAATACCCAGTGACCAATCTCTCAAGTAAACCTGTTGTTTTTCAATTTTTAATTCAGAAAGCTAGATTGTCATGTTCCTCTTACCAAATTATAGAAATAGGTGTTTGAAAAAGAGCCGACATTCAAAGGAAGGCATCTGTTCAATTTCCTTTGTACTTCCCCACACTGGATAATGTTGAAAACTAATGTTATTTTCCTCCCTTGTTTGTCATCAGACATGATAAAACACATGTTCCTTTCACTGTTGTTTCTCTGTAATCCAAAGGGAAACAATGTTTAAATTAAGAACTTCAGTATTCCCATCCTGACGCAAAAAGTTCTACAAAGCTGGTATTTTGCTGACTAGATGTTTTCAAGGAATCACCAGGCTTACCCATGCATAACTGCTGCTTAGGAAATGAGGTTTCCTAGTATGTAACTACTAGTGAAAATAATGATTGTCTTTCAGGTTGGTTGGTTTGGGGTTTTTCTTTTATTTCAGTGACAATTCTGTACAGGTGGCCAGGCAATTGTGAATAACTGTATATTTGCATGTGCTGATATTCCTCTAGAATCACAGAGCAATAGAATATTTTGGGCCAGAAAGGATCTTCAGAGATCATCTATTTTAACCTCCTCCCACAGGCAGGGGCAACTAAACTGGGTTGCTCAAAGCCTCACCCAACCTCCTTTGATGGAGCATCTTCATCTTTGTGTAACCCATTCCAGTGTCATGCCACCCTTATCACAAAATAATTCATTTTTATGCCTTACGTACATCTGCCCTCTTTGGGTTTAAAATTGTTGCTCTTTGTTCTGTCACTACAGACAGTGGTAAAAAATCAGCTTCTGTATTTCTAAGAAATTCCTTTGTATACTGAAAAGCTGCACTAAAATATCCCTGGAGACTTCTTAAGGTTGAACAACCCAACTCTAAACCTGTTTTCATAGGAAAGGTGTTCCAGTTTGATACCTTTACTTTTGATATTTAAGCAAGGCAAATGTTCTGGACCATCACCCGCCTTGTAATGAGCTACCAAATACCACCTACCCAACTGCCTTCCACCATGACTTCATTGCTCCCGTGCCCAGCCATTAAACCTCTTTTGATTGAATCCCCAGCAATATAGGTCATCCAGAAGATCACATTTCTACAGGGACTGTGAAGCACAAGATGCTACTGAGTGCTTTTTGTCTGCATTTCATCTTTTATCCTAAAAGTGGATTGAAATAATTTTTCCTCCACCAGTCCTCTACTTCATCTGTCGAAGGGCTCTGCAATCCCAGGCTTTGGACTGATTGAATAGTGTTACAGATTTGTGCAAGATGTGATAGGGAAGGCTGGTGTTTAACGGGAAAAATTCAGCTTCCTTTTTTGTCTTATTTTTTTCCCCTACAAAGTTCTCTCCTAACAAATATATTAGGAGAAAACTCCACAGCCATATCAGTGTTGCCCCACTTAGTTTACAACGTACTGTGAGATTTTTACCTCCCTTGTAAATTACTTTGAAGAAAAACAGAGATTAATCTCTATTTATTTATTTATTTTAATGTAAAGCTGTGCCATTTGTACCTGAAGTTTACCTGACATCATGCCTTCTGCCTGTGACCAGTACTGGATGCTTAGGAATGAACGTTATGTTATACGCAAATTTAGGAAACAACAGAGGAACAGTGATCACACTTGGGGAGGCAGGTTTTTCTCTGACTGTTTTAACTCTATCTTATTTCCATTTAGTCCTTGAAGGGCTAAAGTCCATTTATGTTTACTGTCATTAAGAGGCCATTAAGCACTTCTACCATTTTAAGATTTATATCTGTTAAATTATTTATGTGTTTTATTTTTCTGTATCCTTTTTGAGGTGGGCTGACTAAACTAACATTTAACACTCAAAAGAGTGAATGCACACTGTGTTTATAAAACACTGAAGTTGCATCCGCTGTGTTTGCATGTTCCTAGTATTCCTAAAATCCTGCCTGGCCACAGATGAGTGTCAAGTTGGTGGTGTTAGAAAAGTACATATAGTGACTCCTGGGGCACCTCTCCAAATGTTTTCTAGAGACTTTCTACAGGTCTTTCTCTGCTATTCCTAACTGTATATTTTGTTTATTTGGTTGTTACTGTGATTTGACCAACTGAGCTTTACGTAACAGATTTGTGGGTTATTGAAGGGTGAAGAAGAACTCTGAGGAAATGCATCTGTGTGCTTGTCCACATGTCCACATGCTTTTCCTCTGACTTTTCCTCTTACATTCTCCCATGTTTACCTCTGGGGCATCCATTGTTGGGTACTGGGAGTAGGGTGAGGTTCCGGGTGGATGGGTTCAAGGTCCAGCACTTCAGATTTCTGTGCTTAAAATGTCACACAAGCAGTATCACATAGGGAAATCTACTTGTTGCTGCAAATAATCCTTTCATGAATGATTATGTGGATTTCTAATATGCATTGATACTATTGTTTGCACACAGAAAATTTCATTTTCCTTTATTTTAGTTACAGTTTTATTATTCTCTGTAATTAGGTAATTATTATCTTATAATTTATTTATTATTCTCATCCATTATTGGGTACCTGGGAGTAGGGTGAGGCTCAGGGTGGATGGGTTCAAGGTCCAGCACTTCAGACTTGTGTGCTTGATACTGCTTTAAAAGCAGTATCACGTGGGGAAATCTACTTGTTGCTGCAAAGAATCTTTTCATGAATGATTATGTGCATTTCTAATATGCATTGGTACTATTGTTTGTGGACAGAAAATTTCATTTTCCTTCATTTTGGTTACAGTTTTATTATTCTCTGCTCTTGTAGAGGGATCTTCATTCACTTCACTGACTCAATTACATAGTGATACTTTCTTTTCTCCTTAACTACATCATATTTCAAGGTGGATGGATCCTAAATATATTCCAATTTATGTGTTGGGAAAGAAATTATTTACATCCAGACTAACAAGAAAGTTGATCATTGTTAGACTAAACACAGCAATGCAAGGACCCAGAACTATAAATTTACCAAGCCAGACCAGGCAGCTCCTATGCAGATACAGTGAATAAGGGAAATTAGATGTCTGTGGCTGAGCCACAGTAGCTATCACACTGATGGTTCACACTTCAAGAAGCAAGAAGCAATGCTGTGCTGAGGAGAGTGTTTGAAATCCTACCTGTGTCTTGGTCCAGAAGAGCCAGATTAATGTAGACGCTGAACTCAGAACAGGTGTTTGTTTTGTTTTGTTTTGTTTTGTTTTGTTTTTGTTTGGTATATATCTAGGCAGAGCAGTTTGTCTTTGACTAGGTTACTTCATAGTGTTGTGTTATGGGAAATGAATTTTGAAAAAGAATGTCAGCATTTCCATACATCACCAAAAAGATAACTTTACTTGACAAGGAAGAAAAGTTAAGAATATATGTACCCGTAACCTGATAACAGTTTGTGTAGACAGATCTGACATAATATTCAGCAGATTGCTGTCAAGTTTGGGTACTGAGAGATTATTTCTAGGCTCTGTATTTCTGTAGAGCATGTAGGACTGGCTAGCCATGCTTCAGAGGAATTCTTTTGCAAGGGTGTAATATAAGCATTCTTTGTGAGCAGCAAAGGCAAATACTGGTCATAGGTCAAAGCCTTAGAAATCAAGGTGATAACCTTCAAAAGAAGCTGCTTCTGCAGCAAATGAACCGGCTCTTTATGCTCTATCTAATTAATAAGCTTGCAATGTTCTTTCAGCCCTGATGTTGCAGAGAGATGGCCATTAGCCATACAAATCAGCAATGTGGTGATCAGGGTGACAAGGCAGGTCACCCTCTTGCACTGTGGTGGAAAATGCATTTTCTCCCAACCCTCTCATCAAGCACTGGAAATTCCCCAGTGGATCCAGTCCATGGCCAGTTTATCTCATTAATGGGAGATCCCATGACTTTTTGTACCTCATTATAGATGCCATATCTATATGGTGTGCTGTGCTGGATTTTTTTGGGGTAGAGTTAATTTTCTTCACAGTGGCTTGTAAGGGTATGACTGTGTTTTGGATTTGTGCTGGAAATAGGGTTGATCACACAGAGATCTTTTCTGTTATTTTTGAACAGGGCTTATATAGAGCCAAGGCTTTTTCTGCTTCTAGTAGAGACCCACCAATGGAGTTTGGTTACTGTTTGGATTTAAACCATGACACAGAGGTAGAGTATTTCAGTAGTTTTATTATTATACATGTTTTTATTAACATTCTTTGTACTTCATCATCCCTGTGGCAAAATCCCCATTGGGCTATTACCAGTAATATGGGAACAGACTCAGCTCCATTAGATTTATAGAAAAACAAAGCTGTGATCATTCCAACTTCCATCAGCATTCTGAGATATAAGTTATTAATTGTTTTGTACATACAAGGTAATTTCACTGAATCCTTGTTATAATTTCTTAACCTTGCTGCAACTTTTCTGATGCCCAAGAGAAGAAGAGTATGCAACCAGTGCTGTATTTGAGATTCTTATAGGCACTCAAAGCCTTGAAATACAGCTCCAAAATAGTGTAAATTCCAAAGTAGGAAGGTCAGCTTAATTTTAATCTTTATTTTGCATCTCTTGATAATGTCAACATTTTCTAAATATTGCTCCTGCTGAAGCAGTTGAGTATTTTAAAAAATATTTCATGGAAAAAAAACTCTAGTTTAAATTTGGACTAACTCTTACCAATACATATATGCATGTATATATGTTGAGAAAATTTGCCTGGCTATAATAATCTAAGTCTTTGTCAAGATCATCTTCACTGACTTTTTAAGTTCCTAAAGAGGTGTATTTATAGCTTATTATTGCCTTATGTCGTTCCTCAGTAAGTTTAGTAATGAAGAAATGGCCTCCCTTCCCCACCAAAAGCATCAGTTGGCAACTGTATGAACAAATGAGACAAATTCACCTTCCTGTTGTGCCCCTACACTCTGAAACACTGCAGTTTAAATTCTGCTGTCACTT